CTTCTGAGACACTCAGCTCAAGGCCGCCAAGACACAAGCAATGTGTTCCTGTCAGGTAACCAAAATCTGTCACAGGAACACTAGGGGTTCAGTTTAGATTATGCTGCTGGTAATACAAAAAGCCAATCACTGAAACAATAATTGTTGTCAAAGAAGAAGATTTTAATCCAGTGCTGTAGCTGAGGAAATGGGTAACAATCTCAAATTCAACTCACTGACTGACTAAAATTAGTGTTTACATAGCAGGGAAGAAATGTTAATGTGTAGGAAAACAGGAGCTAGGGAGGGGCAAGGAAACAATCATGACCATTGAGGGGTGTGACGATTGAGGGGTGTGACATTGGATGTGGTGATCTGGTGAGTTTCAGTTCTTTGACACTTTTTTCTGGGAGGCTTGAAGGTTGTTTCCTGAGAAAGGAGCTCAGATAAAACAAATGTAAGTTTCAAGCTTTAAGATCAGATGGGTCAATTTCTATGTTTATCAAAAAACAAAAAACTATTTATGGGACTATTGGGTAGGTTTCAAGAGTATATAAGAAATATATTACCTCTTTTGTTCTACTTTGACCTTTATTACCAGATGAAATATAATAAAGCTTTATGATGTTCGTTTTTAGAAATGGAGATTTATCTACATCATTCTGGCTATATTACAAAAATAAAATTTGTCTCATATATATGTTCAGTGTTATGCATTTAGTACTAGCTATAAAATGTGAATACAAAATGCTTGCATATAAAGTATTTTTATTTATATAGTGACTGCCTTATTTTAGTAAGTGCTTAAATGATGCTGTTGAATTACTACTATTTATTACAGCACAAATGCTATTATTTTATTGTTAATACTATTGGTATTCAATTTTATGAAAGCTAACTCTGACACTGTGCTGACATCAGCGATTAAAAGGAGATAGCATTTTAAAAGTCAATAACCCGCAAGAAGCCTGGTGCTTATTTAAACACATTGTAGGGATGTGCCAGGATGTTGCAGATGAAAAATGCAAGACCTTAAGATATGATCTCCTCCAAATAACTAAGATTCACGTCCAATAAGGGAAAAAAACATAATTACCAATTCTAGCTTTTGAATTATTGTGGAAAAGAACATAGGAAGCAAAGGAGCAAGGACAGATCAAGGAGATGGTCCTGTTGAGCTAAAATTTGTCTCTGTGTTCTGTCTGGGTCTAGAGTCCTCTTTGTTTCAGCATTTTAACGTTTTCTTCTCTGTGACAAATATCCAAGTGCCTCATACGAGTTTAAGGTCCTTATTGTAGTATTGTCACACTTTAGCCCTCTAAAATGGAAAGATAATGAAAGGGAAAGGAATAAAGAAATAAAAAAGTATAATAAGTGTAGTTTAACTATGCTTTCAGAAGCCTTAAGACACTGATATTCTTTTAAAACCTCTATAAAGTATTCTTGACCAGTAAACTGAAGATCTAAAGCATATCAGAAGCAGAAAGGGGCCTAGCTTTTGAAAGAAAGCTTCAAATCTGCGGTACAGATATGTTCCAGGTCAAAAAAAAAAAAAAAAGTTAAACATTGAGGAAGTCTCTTGGATCCAGGGTTATTGAAGACGTTAGGTGAGTTTATAGAGTTTTTCTCCTGACGTAATTAAAAAAAAAAACAGGTGAGTCTACGTATTTTACTTTTCATGAGATTGTGAAGCAGTGGTCTTCAAATTCTAGTTTCTATAAGTAGAACCTTGGAAATTTGTAAAAATTGTAGATTCTTGTATCCTACCCTAAAGATTATGAGACAACATGATCAAATTCTAACACCAACATACCCCATGCTGGGGAGGGGTGAAGGAGTATCGTGCCTTTGTAGGAATTTAGCCAAGTGAAAGGATTCAATTAAAATATCTACAGTATTATAAAGGATGTAACTAAGGAAAATGCAAGATTGTTTACACTATTCATAAAGTAGAATAAGTAATCTTAAGCCTTATTTTGAGTAATTTATTAATAATAAATTATAAAAGTGTGTTTCATATGTATGTATACATGTACCTATATATACAAATATATAAACTTATTTAATCTTTATCATGACCTTGTTATTATTATTTACATTTATTATGTGGAAATAATGAAACTGAAAGAAGTGATTTGCTCTAGATCACTGAGGGCAGCACCAAAATTCTAACTCAGGAATATCTGGTTACAAATTCTGTGTTCAACATCACTCACCTACTGTTATTACCAATAGTGTTGTAGGACTTGTTATGCATAGAGAATGTACTATCACAGAAAAGAAAGAGAAGAGATTCATAAAATGTTTTAAAAACTTGATCAACAACAGATGCTAAGATAAGCCAAGATCTTCAAGGGTAATATCAGGGAAAATGTTTTACATCTTGGGGCTGCTTCTGGGGTCAGATCACCACCTGGCAGGATGTTAGGTCTACCTCAAAATGACAATTCCTTTGTTCTCACAACATGGGAAGTGGGAATCTTTGCAGTATACTATAAATTTTGTAACTTCCCATTGTTTCGTGTTCACATTAATAACTATAATTATATAAGCAACATTTCATCATCTGTTTGAATCCATTTAAGAAATATCTGATTAATTTTATTGGCAAATTTTGATACTAAATAGATAAAATCAGAGGCAGAAATTAATACAGATATTTTAACTAATTACAAAAGTTTAAAATATTTCAATTTAGAATGAGATTACTTTAGAACAATATCATGATAAACGTAGGTATGAGGGTTTTTTTTGTTTGTTTGTTTGTTTTTGTTTGTTTGTTTGTTTGATTCAGAGTTTCTCCTGGTCGCCCAGGCTGGAGTGGTGCAATGGCGTGATCTCGGGTCACTGCAACCTCCACCTCCCAGGTTCAAGCAATTCTCCCTCCCGCCTCAGCCTCCTGAGTAGCTGGGATTACAGGCCACCACAACCAGTTAATTTTTGTGTTTTTTAGTAGAGACGGGGTTTCATCATGTTAGTCATGCTGGTCTTGAACTTCTGACCTCGTTATCCGACCGCCTTGGCCTCCCAAAGTGCTGAGATTACAGGCGTGAGCCACCGCGCCCGACCATGAAATTTTTTAAAGTCACGGTAGCTTTTATGCTTACTATTCTATTGTTATATATCTACTGATGATATGCTCAAAAACAACTTGAATTTAGGTATATTATAAAGTGACAAGCTATAAAACGAAATTTTAGTGCCCATGTTCTGAATTTCGGTTTTTTTTGTTTGTTTGTTTGTTTTCTTTGTTTTTTTTTTTGAGACGGAGTCTCGCTCTGTTACCCAGGCTGGAGTACAGTGGTGCGATCTTGGTTCACTGCAAGCT